AGGTGGTAGCGATGTACAGACAAAGGGCGTAGTGTGTAGTGGAATGAAAGGTCAAAGATAGTGTTCAAATGCCAGCTGGAGATTGACGTAGTGGAGGTCGCCCTCGGCCACGTGGTCTTGCCGACCAGACCTGTGTGAGGGCGGCGTGCATAGAGTCGTTCTAGCAAACTATCAGACCTAGGACATTGCAGGTTAAGGCAACGGGTGTCAAGACAGCTTGGGTGAGCGCCTCCGTGCAACCTGTCAAAATGTCGTAGTAGTAGTAATACATCATACAGTCGTATGGTCTAATCGCCGTGCTACAACTGAACGCCCCTTGGATACCGATTATGCACCATCATCTGTGAGTCAGTCTACAGGCCACCCCATCGTTGACCACGGCGCGTGTCTGTCGTAGAGTATGGTGAACACCGATGTGACCTACCTGCAATCCACAGAACGCGATAAATCCAGCGTAGATTATTGCAGCCGCATAACAGACCTTTGACACCTTGTCGGCGTCCGTTGCATCGTTGACGGACCCTGTCAACGCCTCGACATGTCTAGCGTAGAATGATCCAAAAGCTACAAGATCAGTCAGACATCGGACCAACTGGTGTGGTCGTCCACGGACCAAGGAGAATGACGACACCGAAGACGGAGAAGATGGTGCAGCAGCCAGCTGACTATCAGCTCTGAACATTCGCCCCAAAGACAGCGTCTCTGTCTCACCTAGCGGAGCCGAGACTACTGGTCTGATGTTCAGAGGCATGATACGCGTTGGATCAGAATGTCGATCCCAAGCATGGGGATACTCTATCGAGTGATAACCCAGAGGAGCGAGGAGGGGCCGGTTAGCAGTCTCGGTACTATTTGTTTTGTGGCAATTCAACTAATTTATCCCAATCCTCCGAGATTAGAGATTTCCAGCTTGGTTTCAGATTTCCGTCTCCCATCCTCTACCACTCCTCATACCGGCTATCGACGATGGCCAAACGAGGCTCAAAATCTTCCAAGCTCGCGGCTCAAGGGGGCAAACCGTCTGCCCCGGCCGCGGAAACCACCTCAGCCGATCGGGCCGGCAAGCACAGCAAAATCAGCGACGAGCTCCGACAAGCCGTCCAGGCTCTGGGAGGAGATGAGGAGGATCTGGATCTGATCGAAGGCGTTGATGATGACGAGGAGGATTCGCCAGCGACAAAGTCTACCAAACCAAAGGGAAAGGAGCCGTCGTCAGACGAGGTGCGTTTTACAGCAATAGGGGCGAAAACCTGCTTAATACAACAGAAATCGTTGCGCAAGGCACTCGGCGATTTCATGAAGGGCCTTGATTTCGGCTCAGTGCCCGCACCCGTGATCGACGATGATGACAGCGCCGAGGAAGTCAGCGACGCGGAGAGCGAGGACGATGAAGATGAGGATGATGAGGACGACGATGAAGAGGATGAAGAGGAGGCTGAGAGTGACGACGAGGACGAGGACGAGGAACAAGGTCCCAGCGAGGACAGCGACGAGAGCGAAGAGGAGGAAGAGAGAACTGCAGTGGTCCCTCCGTCAAAACAAGCCGAGGTTCCGCAATCAAAGACCAAAGACCCCGTTCAGCCTTTGGATCGTGATATGACCAGTGGAAAGGTGAGTCTGCCTCCCCAGATGCGCGCTAAAGTTCCAGATCGTGCCCCCAAGCCCATCGTGGTCAGCCCTTGCTCCACCTCTTTCCCCGCCGGCTGCCCCTCTCGAGCCTCTGCAACCATTCCGGTTGGCCGGCCTGCGAAACAAGGCGACCAACCTTCTGGACAATCTCCCCGCACTCAACAGAGCTTCGTCGTCGTCGGATACCGCTTTCATCTCCCAGATTCTCCAGTCCGGTACTCATCAAGACAAGCTGTCTGCTTTGATCCTTTTGGTTCGAGAATCTCCGATCCATGCGGTCAAAGAGCTGTCTAGGTTGCGTTCCATGACTGGTTGGAAGGAGGACGGCACGTTCGGAGGAGGAGGAAACAAGGATCAGCGAGTGGCCGTGATGAAAGCTCTGGCAGATTGGTGGGTGACGGGAGGAGGCAAGGAAGCCGGAAAGTTGAAATACTTTGCCGATCAACCTATGCTTGCTCATCCCGACCTCACGGACCGACATCTGCTGGTTTTCGCTTTCGAGGATTGGCTTAAGCGATGGTTCTTCAACTTGCTGCAAGTCTTGGAGGTGAGTCGGCAAAGCGACGGATGAGCATCGACTGATGGCAGGTGTTGTTGCACGATACCCTGCCCTTCATCAAGACTCAGGCTTTGCATATCACTTTCAGACTGCTCTCGGGCAACGCCGAGCAAGAGCAAAACTTGCTTCGACTGGGCGTGAACAAGCTTGTGAGTCTTCCCTGTGTTCTCACGAGGCGGAGGTGCTAACAGTGCAGGGCGACAATGACAAGTCGATCGCGTCCAAGACCTCGCACCATATTCTTCAACTCCTACAAGCTCACCCAGCAATGAAAGCTGTGGTCGCCCGTGAAGTCTCCGCACTGGTACTGAAACCTCCGACTGTTTCTGCCGAACCGTCATCTAGTCATGTTCGATTCGATGATAAGCCGGCTGCTGCTCCCGCCAAAGCCGAAGGGGTCAGCCACGCTCGATATTACGGTCTCATCACCTTGAACCAAATCACCCTTACGTCGCACGAGAGCGATACGGCCGGTCGTTTGGTCGAGCTGTACTTTGAGATTTTCCGAGAGATTCTCGGAGACGGCAAGGTCGAAGAGGAGGCGCAAGACCATGTGGAGAAGGTCGCCGGCAAGGTGGAGAAATGGCGGGGTAGGAGAAAAGGCTCCAAGCCCAAGGGCGGCAGAAAATCTGCTCTGGAGGACGAGGAGTTGATTGATGCCTCCGAAGCGAGATTGGTGGCGGCGGTCTTGACGGGTATCAACCGAGCCATGCCCTACGCCAAGCTTGACGAGGAAATGTGAGTGTGCTTCAAGGGGTCGCGCGCTTATTGTCAGCTTTGCAAAACACATGGACACGCTTTTCAAGATCACACACAAGGGAACATTCAACACGTCGATCCAGTCCCTGCAACTCATCGCCCAAGTGGCTCGATCCCGCCCAGCTATCGCTGACCGCTTCTACCGCACGTTGTATGACAGTCTGTTCGACCCCCGACTGGTCACGAGCTCGAAACAGGCCATGTATCTGAACTTGGTGTTCCGAACACTCAAGGTCGATGAAAGTCTTACCCGAGTCATGGCGTTTGTCAAGCGCCTGCTACAGATGCTCGGGATGCAGCAACCGCCTTTCATCTGTGGTGCACTGTACCTACTTGGAGAGGTAGGCCGTGGTGTATGTCCTGTACTGACGGTAGCTTTTTGCTTCCACGCCTGGTCTCAAACGGATGTTGATAGAACCGGAAGACGACGGGGAGGAGCATTTCGTGGACGCCGATCGACCTCAAAAGAGTGTCCCCGAGGCGAGCAGCTCGACCCACGCCAACGCTTATGACGGCCGGAAGCGGGACCCAAAGTTCGCTCATGCAGACGCGTCTTGTCTGTGGGAATTGGTAAATTGGATTGATATCTGCCAGTCTCCCTTGGTATGCTGACTTGAAAGACCCCGTTCCTCGACCACTTCCACCCTTCAGTCTCGCTGCAGGCCCAGCAGCTTCTTCGTTCTGAACCCCTGACTGGCTCTGCCGACATCTCTCTCAACAGTCTTGTCTCGTTTTTGGACCGATTCGTCTACCGAAACCCAAAGAAAAACTTGCAACCGAAAGGTGCGAGTATCATGCAGCCTGCAGCCGTGTACGACCGTACTGGTATGCTCGTCTCGAACAAGGGCGCTCGGACTGGCGAGGATACGTACGTCAACAGCGAGAAGTTCTGGCGAAAGAAGATCGAAGACGTCCCCGTCGATCAGGTAGGTCTAGCCCGTTTACGTACCATCGGCTGACCGGGCAGATGTTCTTCCACAAGTTCTTCGCCGGCAAGCTGGCTCAAAAGGAGGCCGCCGCGAAGAAGAAGAAGAAGGGCGGAGTCAGTTCCGATGAGGAAGACGATGTCGTCAGTGACAAAGGCGAGGATGTCAGTGATGATGAGTCCGAGGCCGACGATGTTGCCAGCGTCGACGAACCTGCTAGCGAGGACGAGTCTGACCCAGAGGAGGCTGAGATCTGGAAGGTGAGTCGGGGCTGTGATCTTGGCGCAATATGCCGCTGACTGTCAGGCGATGCAAGCCACTATGCCGGATGCTGGGGACGATATGGACTTGTCGAGCGACGACATGGACAGCGATGAGGGAGACTACAGCGACAGCGAAGAGGAAGACGTAGAGGGAGGGGAAGGAGACGCGAGCGTGGAGGACGAGGCTGAAGAGACCAGTGATGAGGATGCGGACGAGCCCGAGTCCGAGTCTGAGTCCGAGTCTGAGCCTGCGGCCGCGGTCAAGAAGGGCAAAGGCAAGCAAAAGGCCGAGCCTGATTCAGACTCTGACTTCCCCGACCTCGCCGACGAGGACGACGACTTGCTGTCGGAAAGTGAGATGCCGGACATTGTCCTTGGCACGACTCCCTCGCCTGAGCCCGAGGAGGAGGTCGCGACTGGGAAGCGAAAGAGAAAGGACGAGCGGAAGGAGAGGAAGAGGAAGAGGAGAGAACTGCCAACTTTCGGCAGTTATGAGGATTATGCTGCGATGATCGAGGCGGCCGGCAACGACGGCGAGGATTGATAGCGTGGGATTGCTGTAGATGCATATTGTACAAGCGGCATCGGTCCTATCGCAGAGGAAGATCATTCATGGTCACATGCCGGGTATCGCTTCTCAATGGCGCGGCCTGATCGGGCACGTTCCACTAATCCAAGCTCGCAACACCCGTGGCGTTCCGCGAGACGGCGACGGAAGGAGGGAGGCAGGGTCAGCTCAAGGACTCACCGTTTTCACGGCGCGTTGCTGGGGGACAGGAATACGTCAAGTCAAAGAGGATACAAAAAAAAGAAAGACAGTAGATGAGAGGGAAAGTCGGACGATCAAAAAAGTCAAAAATATAATGTCCCTTAGCCGATTTGAACGGCTGACCTCGGCATTGCGTAGAATCGTATTGATTACTAGTGCCGCGCTCTAACCAACTGAGCTAAAAGGACGAGATTGATGTTTCGAAGGGAGCAGTGAATAATATATACTTACCGCAAAAGCTTCTTGCCAGCTGAGCTAGAATCCCATGCTGGTCGTTTGACATAGCTTGCGGCATTATGGGACACTGAGTTGCCTGACCAGCCCGGCTGTGTGGACACCGCCACTGTCCAACGATGCGCATCTGTCTCTGCGTATATCGGTCCATTCCTTGTACGGTCAAGGATAGTCAATGGGTTGTGATGCCCGTCTGCGGCAGGGCCTTCTAAAGTAATGCCTCTTGAAGTGGGAACTGGTACACTTGGATCGCTTCTTCTTACTACATATACGTATACATCTCTCTCTGGGCTGTCAATGTCCCACTCTTCTCCATATGCAGTATCTTCCATATGTCACCGGACACCTAGTCCCACCTGATCTCAACGTTCCAACCATTCCTCTGGCAAGGTGCTTTACTCTTCAACCGCAAATACCGCCTGTCATCAGACTAATCCATTTCCAGCGCTCACCCCGACGATGCTTGCCCCGTTTAAGACTCGCTGATGGCAGAGGTGAAGCTCTCTGGGGATTTGGGATTTGTTTATTGGTTCAAGTATACGAGCAATCTGACTGTTAGGCGTTTTACTTGCGTCACCTTGTGAACCTACTGGCCAGCGCCGCACATCGGGTCTGCTGCCAGGCATCCACCTGCCTGTCAGGAACGATTTACAGGCTAGTGTGGCTTGCAGTTGCCCACTTACTGGCCTGCGAGGTCAGAGACCCATCCACCCCCAGCAATCGGCAGGACGCTCAACGGGCCCCTATTCGGAGTCTTCCGAACGATTTCGTTGCCTTTCAGCTCGTCCAGCCTCCTACATCCCAGAGCGGGACGACATTCCCACTCCGAGCGAAGATTCGCCGTCTTGCCAATCTTCTTCGTGGCCACGCACGGCATGGGACTAGAGTGGCAGAAGGTGCATCCCTTGCCGGACTTGCCTCCGGTGCAAATGATCACCGATGACAACCCAGTTCCGTGCATACGAATGGTGGGACGAGTGAACATGATGTTGCTGTTCCCGCACCACCAAGGCTCCAGTGAGACGGTACAGCTTTCCGGGACGTGGGCGGCTCGCTGGGTGTGGGCAAGCGAGAAGCGCTCAAGTTCGATCATCTTGTTCCAGTCTCCACCTCGGACCACAAATCGGGTCTCGTTTGCGGGGTCGAATGGTGTTGGGGATGAATGGGTGCGGATCAATCGGAAATGCGGAGTTTCGGGACCTCGCTCTACCTTGTATTCGACAAAATCGACTGTCGATACTCTACCAAGCGGCTCCTCCGTTGAAAGCTTGACGTCGCCAAGACCTTTTTTGACTCGTTCGCTGGCCCAGAATCTCTTGAGTCCATCCGAGCGGGATCTGCCCCAGGCGAGCCTGTATTCTTGGGTCTGTTCCTCCCAGAATTTCTTGAGCGTCCCGGTCTGAGAAGTCATAGCTTGGTTCCTCTGTGCCTCTGTCCACTTTGCCCCTTGCCATCAGTTCAAATCAAGCCAATCGAACTCACTCGTTTCCCTCGATCTTTGCGTGGATTCTTCCCAAGACTCCTTGCTCCGGGCCTTTTGAGCCCTTGACCAGACTTGCCTTCTCGCCTCCTTCTCGTCTTCGGCCAATCTCGCCCACTCGGCACGTCGAAGGCCGCTCAAGATTCTTGTGATGAGGGGCCTCGGATCCTCTGGAGTCAGACCGATTGACCACATTGTTTCTACGCACCTGGGTCGGACTCGAGGGGCATGTACCCGCTTCGGTCAAGCCACTCCGCAATGTCGGCCGGCAGCACGCTACGCGTGACCTCGAAGGTTCCGCCGCTTATCTTCTCTTGGTGTGCCAACAGCACAAGATCTTTCTTCATGGAGCGGGTGTCGCTCCTTGGAATCGGCCAATGTTCCAGAGTGAAAGAGCTGACATATCGCTCGGGGACCACCCCGCCACTCAGTACTACTGCCAGGTTGGCGATTGCATCGAGTTGGTGACCTTTGCCGAAAAGATCGGCCGTCCGGAAAGCTCGGGCATATGAGCCCACTGATGCATGAGGACTTGCCATGAAAACACCGAGTATCTCGACAGGCTTTCCGCTTTTGTCGACGCGAAACACGACCCGGATGGGAATCGAATGGGTCAGGCCCGGTGGGACGCCGAGGTGGGGCAAGGGCGAGATGGGGATCTCGATGGTGTCCGCGAGCATTTTCAGACCGCGCATCGCCACGATGCCCTCGAGCTTGAGAAAGACTTGCTTCCGAACTGACACGCCAAGTAAGAATCGGAAAGATGGCGAGGTTGCAGCAACGGCGATGGCGCCATCCTGGTTTTCGGACCCCATCCTGACAATCTCCTGCCGGGCAGCGTTGCGAGCCTCGCTCTTGGCCGTAGTCTCGGGAGTGAACAAGTCAAGGCTTCGCGCCAGTCGTGTCTCGGAAGAGCCGTCTGGGAGGTTCCGATGCTGGGTTTTCGATATTTTGGGCACCACCCAGTCATTTGCAAACTGTCGAGGCCCCCCAACGTACCCTTTCAGAACATACCGCGACATGGTGTAAGTCGCAGGGTGCAATACGTGGCGGCCATCGTGCATTGGCGCCCAGAATGCGAGCATACCGGTGGGAGAGTTCCTCGCCCCGTTGGGTCGCACTATGCCGGGGTAAGGATGGCCAACCTCATGGTAGATGGCTTGAATGCGGACATCGAGCTCGTCGAAAACCTGGGCCTCGTGCGCAATGTCTTGCTCTGACGAGGCGCGATCCAGGGCTTTCCTCCATGTTGCCCAGAGGTCGGCTTGCAGCACTCCCTCTGTTCGTCGCATCAGCATATTCCACATCTCCTCTCCGGTCGGCGCTCGAACCCGCGACACGAATTGAGCGTCTTCTTCGTTGATTAATTTGAGTTGATCGTCTTCCGAAGCCAACTCGACTGCTGCGGTGATCGCCTCGTCGAGGTCGGTCTGAAGGAGATAGGGGTCGAGGGCCGCCTCGTCGGGGTGGGGTTGCAGGGGGAAAGGGACTCCGGCACTATGAGCGTTCATGGTATTTTTTTTTTTCGCTATCTTTTTGTCTTATGGAGAAATGATTCGAATTACACTCCAACTCCCAAGAGGGCGCAAAAAATGGAACGGCTGTTGGACTCGGGTTGAGAAGAGTGGGAAGAAAGCCTTCAGACCTCGTTCACTCCAAAGGCAAACAAAGCCCCGGGTTGACTCAATCAACGTCAACCGCCAGCTTGCCATGTTTAGGTCGACCCTGCCTCAGCCTTGACGCAATTGTCGCAATGCAGCGCGATCATTGTGACATGGCCCGTCCAACCGTTCAGGAAGAGGTATAGATACCTGACCATCCAAAGTCAGAACAATTTAGACAAACTTTAAGCAGTCCTCGTGATCCCCCAGGCCTCCGTGAGGCCCCTGATCGGCCTAGAAGTCCTGAGCTGTGTGATTGAACGCCGACTGTAAACCACTTCCAGAAAGTGCGTGTCCTATCCCGATGACGCAATCTTGGAGAAAACATGGGGTAGATCTGTTATCTCACCCTGAAGATTGGCCGGGCTTCTTTCTGAAACGGAGGTTGTGAGGGAGTGGTAGTGCCTGGCATATCATGCGTGTCGGACCGATGAAAGATTGAACTCGTTGAACACTGAAATGTCGCAAGAAGACAACAGCTACTTTGTCGATGATTACGCGAAGGAGCTCACCGACGAAATGGTATCCCTATCGTCTATTGCTCTGCTGTGCTAATTATATAGGACGATCTCATAAGGCGGATGCGTGCCTTGGTCGGTCCCGGTGGGTCTCAAAGCGATCTGATCAGGTCTGCAGAAGGGAGAGACATGGCGGATGTGCGTTCGGCTAAGTGACGTTCCTAACAAACAGAGGTTGGAGGAAGTGTACAAAGATTGGACAGATTACCAAGACGTGAGCATGCAAACCTCGAAGGTAAGCAGACACAGGGCGCTCATACCAGCTGGCGAGGAGAGAAACGGAGGCGAAGAGTGCCATCGACCCGGTGGAAGAGGCAAGGAAATTGAAGGCGCAAAAGAAGAAGGATTATTATGAGGTCGGTCACTGGACGCGTGGAGGAGCGATGTTCACCTTTCAGAGGCGCAAAGCAGAGAGAGCACAGGACAAAGCGGCTCGAGAAGACTCGGGAGGAGACCACGACCAGGGACGTGGGGAGAGCTCAAAGAAACCGCCTGTTCGTGTTCTGCTCACTGACTTGCCAGCGCTGGTAGATGTATATCAGTTGACGGTCCCAGGGCAAGACGACCTACGTCCTCAAGGACAGAGACCTCAACCAGGACGAAGGTTCTTCTACCAAGAAGAGAAAGGTGAGGTGTCTGTACGGCAAAGCTGATTGACTTGAAGGTCGGATGAGCCAAGATCGGTCGGTCCGCACACATGGCGAGGCGACTATCCAACCACTGTAGAGATGATCATAGACGACGCATGCATTTTAAACGTATTCGTGACGCCTACCACGGAAAAGCGGATCGTTGAAGTGACAACGCCTACTTGATAAGACTGATCAAGTACGTTCCATTACAACTCTTCATCCTGATCCAAGCCTCTCTTTCAAGAAGCAAACGTGCCGAAATTGCTTTCTCTATAGAATTACTGGGATGTCCCTCCGAGACATCGATGGCAATTTAGCTCAGTTATGCGAAGGGCGGTACATCTGGTGGAAAAAGCTTGTCTGAATATATAAATTTGCTCGAAGCACCCAAACATCACCAATATCTGGTCCTTTTAGCTCAGTTGGTTAGAGCGCGGCACTAGTACTTACGTGATCAATACGATTCTACTCAATGCCGAGGTCAGCCGTTCAAATCGGCTAAGGGACATGATCTTTTTGTTTCTATTTTTCGTATCTGTATTCCTCGTTGTTCTGTCGTCTATCCCCTGTACTCGCCTAGAGGTCAAAGCACTCGGGTGACACTCAGGGGAACCATGTGAAGCAGGATGGAACCGGCCCTTGTCGTTTGCACCTTCTTTGGGG